CATACAAATAACAACATTATTTGTTTTTTACGAACCCACGAGTCCCGTTCCAAAGTGTTATTCACTCGTATTTGTTTTTCATTTCCAAAAATATAATGGAAAATATTGGTTTCACGCCCCTCCCCCTAAATCTAATGCTTCATTAGCTATGTTTAATCCCTTTAAATCGCCGTATCTGATGTTATTGGGAGATTATCTATTGAGTTTTAACCACGAGGTTTCCTCGTTTTTAACCCTAGATTTGTGTTAATCTCCCTTTTAATGTCAGACAGCAAACCCTTGGCTTTTTGGCATCTGTTAACTGCAGCTTTTGAGTAGATGTTGGTCACTCTTTATCAACCAAAACAATGTATTTCAACGACACAGTGAACCGCACAAAGTCTGATTATAATGTTGCTTAAGATATTATATGACGCTACAAATAAATTTTAGATGTCACAGATGTGAATGGTAAAGCATTGTGAACTTTGCGATGCACTATTGTGTTTAAAATGTGTTTTATTATCGAAGATGGCTTGTGTTAGTGAAACCTGCTTAGATATGTGGAAAAAACTACCAATCTGTATCGAAATGCCTGTTTCAGGAAGTATCAAGGCACTGAGGTTATGTTGGTTGGATTCATTACTCTTCTTTTCTTAAATATGAAAGATATTTGGCAGTGAGCCATTAAATGGTTGGTTCATCCAAAAGATAGTTCATCCCATGATTTCCTTACCCCCAAGCCAGGTGTATGACTTTCTTCTTTCAGCCAAAAGCCCAAAAAAAGCACATCCATCATCCATCATAAAAGTAATACGGCTCCAGGGGGGTAATAAAGGCCTTAATTCTTGAAGCACAGCTATGCGTTTTTGTAGGAAAGATATCCATATAATAACTTTATACAATATAATCACTGGCTTCCAGACCGCTGAGACTGGTAACAGCAGATGATTGACCCGACGCATGATATATTGACAAACTCGGAAGTGTTACCGGATTATATTTTTCTTACAAAAACCTTGATTAACCCTCTGGAGTCGTATATATTACTTTTATGATGCTTCATATTCATAATCTCAGGCGTTACTTCTATTACAGTATAAAGCTTGGATATTTTTTAATATAACTCTGATTGTGTTCGGTTGAAATAATGAAGTCATATTCACCTAGCATGGCTTGAGGGTGAAGAAATTATAGGATCATTTTCATTTTTGGGTGAACCATCCCTTTAATTATTACCTTACAAATCATGGAAATTTCTATAGTTAATATATATTTTTTCCTGTTATGTTCTGCTCAAAAATATTACATTGTATAAGATTGTTTCTTTGAGAGTACAATCTCTGAGTTTAAAAAAAAATCCAATGACTATGTTATTGTGTGGGAACTCTATTTTAAATGTAATTGCTGTGTTTTAGGCATAAAAATGTGTTGCTTCTTGTGTCTTGCTGTGCTGTGTAGTTATTCTTCTGTCCATCATAAGAGCTTAAATCCAAGTACATTTTGAGGAAATCCAAGCTGAATATTTTGGGCTTAGCCTATTGCAAATTTTGCTGCGAATTCATAACGAGAGCTTAGCTTTATCATGTGTTTTAGAGGTAAAAAGTAACCAAAGCCATTAATCTCCCACCGTATTTCTGAAATCTAGAAGTGTGTAAAAGTTGATTCACACCTTCATGACAAGAGTTTTCTGTTGATAACGCTTTAGGGAGCATCATAAATCATTTCCTCAAACTTTTTTTTTTTTCCAGGGTCAAAGTCCCAAAATCCAAACTCTACCGTCCTGCATTCCTGCATTGATAGAAGTTGCTGCGTTTAGAAACACGATTTTTTTTTCATTGCAAACCAGTTAGTATGATGGTGAATTTGGACCGTCGGTATCATATTTTATCATGCATTCCTTTTTCCGTTTCTGTTTGTAGTCTGATACTAAATCTCCCTCTGTAATGTAACATGGAGTATTGTGGTTCCTACAGGCTAGCTTTTCCTGTTTGTTATTGGTAACTTTTATACAGCCTTGCATAATGGGTTAAGCAGTGGTTCTCAAACTGATTGCCTAAAATGGTTAATAACCTCACTCTTGATAATCATAAAAATGACCAACATTGAATTTATCATCATAACTGCTATTTACATTCATTTTATGATTTCATTTACTTCAAGTAACAGTCTATTATGAGACCCCTGGATAGGATTCGGAGGTCTGTCATAGATGTTTCATTTAGTTAAGGTGCCTGTGTTTTAACAAGCCAAAATTTATTCCATCCGCTGTTTATTTTCACCCCCGGCAAACAGTTTATCCATACACGGACCCGACGCTCCAGTGCCAAACCTAACCTTGGCTTGCCCTGGCTTTTCGGACTTTCTGTGTGAATTTGTCGGCACACATTTGGTGTCATGCTCGAGAGCGTCACAAATTCAAACAAAACTGAAGGTCAAAGCTGCTTGCTGTGAGAACCATTACCATCAGGAAAAATGTCACTTTTTATTTTTATCTCTAGTCATCATCTACCTCCCCCTCTCTCTTCGAAAGCTTCCCTATGCGTCCGCCTTCCCTCTCTTTTCATCAAAGATCAGCAACAACCTTATGGCCAATTATGTTTCTTGCAACATTTCTCTCAGATATAGGGCTATTTTGGATATTGCTTTGACATTTTATCAATGCCTTGGTCTAGTCTATACTAGATAGATAACATACCAGTGCTTTTTCAAGTTCCTGTAGTTCTTCAAATATATTATTGGTTGATATTCATGGCTGCATTTTGGCTTTGGTGGTTTGAGAATGGTTTCGGCACATATTGAGAGCGACTTTATGGCTTTATTTTTCTAGCTTGACCGTGATAGGTTTCTAGCAGCTCTTGAACATCCACCCCCAACTGAAGAGGTTGTTAAAGAAGCGTCTGGAGCTATTTGACGACAGTTTCCAGCAGATTTAATTGGTATGTAGGCTGCGAGAAGGTGCATTGATTCAAGTTGCGTTCGTTTTGACCACTGCTGAAAATCAACAGCATTTTAAATTGATAAAAAAAAATATAATTGTCATTTGAATTATGTATGGATCTTTTTCTCTGTGGGGATGATGAGATGCTACATATAGGGGTAATATAGGGATAGTTATGCTCCATAAATCCTAGGTTTGTTGCATTTAGCATTTTATTCAATGAAACATACATTTACTGATAGGTTGCATTGCACTTAAGTTAAGTCATTTTTTTAAGATGACCAAATAAAAGACTGGTTTATAATAACTGTGATTATTTTACTACACTGTAAAAAAATATTGTTAGTTTAACTTAAAAAATTAAGTAACCTGGTTGTCTTAAAATTTTAAGTAGATTGAACTGGAAAAAGTGAGATTTAATCATCAGAAACTTAAAATAATAAGTTGTCTGAACTAAATCAATTATTTAAGTTGATTTGACAAAAGAAAAAAAAATGTGATAACAAATCTTGAAAATATTTTTTTTTACAGTGTAAGGAACTAAAACATTGAGTCCTCATGATTTCAGCATGCGGCGTGTGTTCTCGAGTTTACAGCTTTGAAGCTGTCAGGGTTTCACTAAACCATGTAAACTACTTTAAATGTACTAGCGCTACTCTCCCACAGAGATAATACTTTTGGTTTTTCCACAGGATTTTTCTCAACAGTTCAGATCTTAAATATGCCTAAGTATTTTGACATCTGGGAAGTCTTTTTCCATTATTATTTCCTTTAAAACCCCAGGGATTCTCATTCTGTCAGAGGGCATCTAGATTAAATCCGTACTTTGTCCCAATTCTGACTTTTCTGACTCCTCATTTCATGCAAATCCTATTCATCTTTTTTTTTTTGGTGGTCATGTACAAAGTGATTTTTTTGATTAAAGGCACAATATGTACGATTTTTGGATTCACTAAACCACTAGAACAGTGTTATGTTTCATCGACATTATCTCATATCCGCATTGTCCTAGATTTCCGTAGAAATCATTGAAAAACCAAAAGACGCTTTAATAAATATTGTTTTTTTATAGCAACTGATTGGATTAGAGCCAGACCGATATATCGGCAGGCCGATATTAGGCATTTTTTCAAACTATCGGTATCGGCAGTTATAATGGCCGATAAATGAATATTTTTCAAAAATAAAATAAAAACGGACGTAACAACGCTTGAACCATGTCATGAGTGTTGGAGTTGTATAGTTTGTCACCAGAGGGCACTCTACACCGTTCTGTTGGCAACACTTGTTGAGTTGGTCACGATACATAGATTGCTTGAA